TTCGCTTCCTAATGTCCAAGTTTGGTCTTTACGTCATTCCCATACATCTTCCTGCTCGTTTTTTTTTTCTTTCAGGGCGAAATTAACCATCCGGGCTCAACTTTTTTCTTTGCTTGTACTTTCGGGGACCCCATTACCATTGTCGTTGCCGTCGAAAAACTATCTTCGCGAGGGCAACTTTTTCTTGTGACGTTCTACAGCGCTAAACTTTTTAGGACCTTCGCCGAATGACCTAATATGTCCTTAAATGACCTTTAATGACCTTGTCCGCATGAGGTCATTTTCTCGGCAGTTTCTCTTTCATAGTGAAAAAAAATCTTACTTCTGAGTGAGAAAGTTTTGATCGGTCAGTTGAACGACGAGAGCGGTTGCCGAAGCTCGAGAAATGTGATCGAGGATTCGGCGAAGGCGGAATACTTGATCGCCTTGGCCTGATCCTTTAGTCCAACGTCTGATCCTTTAGTCCATCGCCTGATCCTTTAATCCACGAAATGCGTCGTGGGGTCAGTCTTTCGGTCGGTCTCGCGTGAGGGAATTCAGAAACGGGTCGCTCGGTCTGTTGCTCGGGTTAGGCGACGATGTTGCCGGAGAGGTTGCCGCACGGTCGCACGAAAAAAAGGGGAAAATCGGGAAGAAAGTACAATAGCCTCCCCCATTCCGTGCCGAGTGCGTGGGAATTTATTTTCTTTTTCAGTCGAGTTGCTCGCGGAGAAAAGAGCTTTCTACCCGAGCGAAATCTGGAATCCTTTTTACCTGAAGCAACTGGAATCGAGAAAACCGCATCACCAACCGCCAGCCTGGAATTCCGTCAAAGTCTTCCGGCAGGCCCTCAAGAGACCCTCGGAGTTCCTCGGGAAGAGGGCCGGAAACGAATTCCTGGGCAAGAGGGCCGGTTCGGAATTCCTCGGGAAGAGAGCCGGATCGGAATTCCTGGGCAAGAGGGCCGGATCGGAATTCTTGGGCAAGAGGGCCGGATCGGAATTCCTGGGAAAGAGATCCGAAATTTTCGGAGAGGAATTGGATTATCCGGAAATCCAGCCATATCCGGAGTACGAGACACGATACGAAATGGGGAACGGAGATGAGAGTTTGGAAAATTAATTCCTGGATACTTTCCGCTAATTACTGGACACCTTCGCCGGGGGGAAGGCAAACATGTGATAAAGGAAATCCCTTCTAATATCCGTTCATAATCTGTCGTAATCCGTCATTATCCGCCGGAAATTTGGAAGCTGGTGATTTCGCCATGGAACACGATTCTAGTCTCTCTTGAAGATTTCTTTCCTAGTGCTTTACTCGATTTTTCCCTCTGGTTGTTGTCGTTTTCTGGTTTTCTGATTTTTCTGGTTTTCTGGTCGCCGGGACGCAAGCCTCTCCGCCATCGAACACCGTCATTTCATGAGCGTATAATAAAGCATGAATAAAGCATAATTATTCCACGACGTCATCTTCTCGAACAGCTGTCGTTTTATCATGCGATTTTTTGCAGATCTCCACGAAGACGCCCTTCAAAAACGATTTCTTCCTGTTGAAACTAATTACAATACATTATATACTGTACATTACAATGCATTATATACATTACAATACATTATATACATTACATTATATACATTACAATACATTACATTACATGGAATATCGAGAATTTCTCAGAGAAAATTGAGGCCTAGAGTCATGCAAACGGTGGCATCAGCTGGGGATAGAAGCGTGCAGCGGGCGAGAGAAATCCTTGGAGGATTCTCCGCTATGAGATAATCATGCTCTAATCCCTAATCCAAGCAGCTCGGGGATGCCGAAACGCTTCCTTTCGATCCCATCTTCATGAGGCATTATAAATAATCAATTACGGACCATATCATAATTTTTATACATGCGAGAGCAAGACATCGCCTCCCAACCTTTCTCACTAATTTGAAAATTGGAATAAAAAATGGCCCAAGAGTAAATATTTTAAAATTCATATGTGTACTTTAATTACTCATTACATTTGCTTTAAATAATGTGAACACAATTTATACCCTATTGTTTTATTGTATCTATATTATATTTTCACTCACTATTTCAAAAAAAGTTAATAAAAATTTAACGAAATCTTTTTCTTTCCTGCCTCATGACGGTACAAAGGTAGGAATAAAGTTGATCAAACTGTTTTGTCAGGATTATTTTTTTTTTAGCGTGGTCTTGGAAGGTGGTTTGCAGTTTCACGGGGAAGAGGACAATCACACAATTAAAGTCACGTCAGAATTAAGATTAATTAATTAG